TTTGGGGGCACCTGGCCTCCAGTCTGGGTCACCCCACCACAATAAGTCAATTAAAGAAAAGAATTTTACAATTGTCACTTTAAAAGTGTATTAAAATCAATATGACATTGGGCCTGACAATTTAATTATTCACATCTATTCAAAGTTGGGGAAAATTCTGTAAATTACTATACAGAATGCAACACAACAGTACTCGATCTAAAATATGAAACTGCACAAGAAAACACAAAAAACCACAAACCACAAACACTCCAACATCTGTAGATATAAAAAAACATTTCAATACATTTGAAAACTGCTTACTTTTCTTTGGCTGGCAGTTCTGTCTCATAAGTAGCCATCTTAGCTCCTGTCCCATCAGGCTTTGCTGTCCTTTGTCTTCGCTTTCTTCTTGGAGCAGTATCAATGACATCTGGGCTACCCAGAAGGGAATCCCTTTGTTCTGGTGCTGCCAAAAGGAAAAAGACTACAGTTGAAAAGAACTTGAAGTATTACAAGAGAATTCTTAAAATATCTTTGTTTATTTTTATTAAAATCTCTATACTGCTAAGATGGGCTCAGATTTGACAGCGGTTGGTGTCAAAACAAACATATGACATAAAGGGAAATTCAAGAAGACCAAATTTAAACTAGAAAGATAAGCTTCCTTCGACATCTCTTTCTAGTCAGGGGAGAGAAAGATGGGGAGTTATAAACCAGAAATATACTGATAGTCTCCTCATTCCTCCTTGTAGACTCTAGAGCCCAGTTTCATGTACCTGAAGTTAGTCTTTGTCCCCTACAGAATAATTGAGGAAGATGTGCATGTGGCACAGGGAAAGGAGCTTGAGTGTTCGACTTACTGCATGGCTTTGTTCAGACTCTTGGTCTGCAGTATGGACAGAGATACACACCCAGAGCAAAAAGAATTAAATAATTTTCAATATTCATTAGGAAAACCCTTGAGAGAAGCTTATTGCTGTGATCAAGCAGTGTACTTTGTAATCTACTAGTCATTCTGCTGCCAGAGATCTCCAGGTGATAAATCCCTACAGGTTCTGCTGGAGATCCCCTGAAGACAACAGGCAGAAAGTCTGACGGACAGCCTGATGTCTGTTCAGCGAGCCAAGAAATCATCCATCTGGAGCAAACCCGTGTATAAAAAGCAATGGCACCAGCTTACTGCTCTACCTGTGGAGCAGGTGGCCCTGGTTCAGACTAAACCTCTCAAAGTGACATAGAGTAGCTGCAGTCTGAAAGGAAAACAGGGAGAATTCCTAACACCTCACAACATGAACCTGGGTAAACCGTCTAGGTTTCTGCTGACTCCTGAAGATAAGTAAGGAAGGCTCTGTCCAGCATTTACCTACAATTGTAATTTCCATTATTACTGCATAAACTACGATTTCATACCTGGCTTACATTTATATTATCATGTAAATTCATAAAAGATATAGTATCAACACTTAAAAAACAATCCCCTCTCTGCTTTTAAAGTTACCTACTTGAAGCTCAAATGTCAAGACAATTGGATCCTTCCTTAACCTAAACCTAAACCCTCCTTTCCCTTGCTATTAATGCACTCGGAAGGTATGCAGATGTTTTTATTCCAGCTATCAACATCCTGTAGCACGCTTTGATTTGATATGCCTGCTTTAAAAATAAAATCTTTAATTACTTTGAATTTTCAAGATAATGATATCCAGAATAGCACACAATTCAACCGAAATATATTAAATAATAATGTGGTGACTGAGGCTGATGCTATTATGGTAACTTCCCCGATTATTACTTTCTGTGTGTTTTAGGAAGGTTTAATCTTCACGTGGATGAAAGACACGATAATTTGAGATTCAATACCAAAGGTTTTCACTGAAAGTAAATAATGGGTCCTATTTCTTCATTCCTTTCACAGTTGTTATCCACCTCTACTGAAAACGAAATAGGGAGAAAATATGCAATCTACAAGTAACATTTTCACTGTTGCTCAAAAAAAAGTTTCTCTTACCAAGAACACTGCTAAATTAAACATGTAAATAGATGCTTAAATATCAGAAACTTTTACATTTTACCAGCCTGCACTGTACTCCATTACAGACTTACGGATCTTTGTAGGATGACAACAGCTATTAGCTGACATAATTCCGAGGCATGAGCTAATTAACAAGTTTCAAAGTCCTGTACAGACAAGATACGTTGCCTGTAATAAATGCTGAAAAGGGTTAAATTACAGCCCAATTCTCCTTACTAAACTTTAACTAGCTATGCATACTTTTCCAGTGCTAAATGTTGAAAATACATTCAAGATTGTTAGTTACTATTTGTTGGCAGCACTTCAGGGTAGGATATCTAACATTTACACTAATACTATTTTATATATTCCAACATCACTTCCTATAGTTGGTGCCTTCTTAATTAATACACATAAAATAGTTTACTGTCAAGAACCTACTTGAATAATTTTACGAACATAGCTTTTATCCTTCCTTGTTGCTATTCGCCTCGCACACTCTGCTTTTGCTAAAAAGCAGATCCAGAGGTTAGCTGCATATACGAAACCTATATAATGCTGATGTTAAATAATAATGTCTCTGTGCTTTTGCTTTTATAATATGCAACGGTGCTCATGGCTCTCATGCTCTGCATTGTTTACTCTTTAGACACAAATTCTGCTTGTCTTCTATCACAGTCCCAGCAGTGCTCAAGTGAGAAAAAAGGAGGAGAAGTGTTCGTTTTTGCAGCATAGTCCATTTGTGCTAACTTCAGGCTGGGAAAGGGTCTCAGTTTTCTACTAAACATCTCAATCTAATCTTTCCCATTAAACCAAATTTTGCTCTTATGACCCATTAAAACCAGGCAGAATAAAAACCATTGACATAAATGATTCAAATAAACCTCTGCAATAAAGTTGACACTTTCTATTGTGAGAATGTTTCTTTTAATAATACCAAGAAGGCTGCTTCTCATTCACAGACAGCCTGGAATGCATTCTTACGAAAACTAGTAGACTGGCTCATAGGTAATGGTTGATTACCATAGGCTTCAGAGTTTTTTTGTTTTGTTTATTTCTTCCTTTTAAACCAAACTACCTCTTAGGTTAGAATTACTAATGAAAAGATGGCATACACTTCAAGCTTGAAGTATCATGCATCACTGTAAGACTTTAAACACACGCCAACTACTGCTGCCCAAAAATAATTCCCATTAATGAATTCATTTACAGTACTTGACTAAAAGCCAAAGAAAGCATCAACAAAATATCATTCATTGCTCGACACAAAATCATTTGGAAAAATGAGAGACAATCTTGAACATAAACCTCATTTTTCAATCTGAAAAACTTTTCTGTCTAGATTTCATCACCATTTTGAGGAAGTAAAGTTCTTTGACTTCTCATGAAATTAAATGTATTACTTTGATATTATGTAATACAACATGGATTATTGTTATACCTTTAAGAAGAATAGTACCAGTTTACATACAGATAAGAGTATTGTTTGATGAAAGCCAGTGAATTAAACCACCTAAAATAAATGTTGATCAAGAAAAGGAAGTGTTCCAAATATATAACATACATTCTACAGGAGAACAGCTGTAAGAAACAAGATTGCCAGGAGAGCAAGACAAGGAATCATAGTTCAAGTACTAAAAGAATATTTGTGTTAAGAAGATTAAAGACTTTAAGTAAAAACTCTTGTACATTTTTGTTATTTGTTTTGAAGAGTGATATTGTTTGGTGGGTAGAGGGAGTTTTCAAATAAGAAAGAACAGTCTAGAAAACAATTTAAACTGAAAACTAGAAGTAACTTTCACTGGTTTGGAAGAGTCAGGATGAAATTAAATCAATACAGTCCCATAACGGGGGCCTGGAAACAGAAGATGCCTTTACTCTAATGCAGAAAAATGCCAGAACCCATTCTCACGACCTTTGATACACCCCACCTTCCATCCATGCAGAACAGCACTGCCTCTTCCAAGCTCTCTGCTGGGAGCAGTCTCTGGCTAGCCAGACTCTGCTGGGGGAACTGCCTGGTTGAGCTGGTATAGAGCAAAATCATCGCAGGGAACGTGCTAGCAATGAAAGGGGGCAGACAACTTGGATCAACTGCCAGCATCAAGGTTGGATCCTGGAATTGTTTAGTGTACTAACGTGGCACCATGATCCCTGAAAACTACAGGTGTTTTAAAATTAATTTGTGTAGGCTGGTTGAAGATAGGCATTCCCATTGTATTTTAAAAATATTATTATCTCACATACTTTTGCATTACTCTATTTTCATATACAGAAGTCAATTGTTTAAAAAAACGCACTTTCCTATCTATCGTATTCACTTTTCAATCTGAAGAAACCCCTACCCACCTTCACTCTTAGTATATCATCACCTGTAATGAAAATTCTACAGCTTGAACTTGTCTAATTATTAACAACAGTGCTGTACTCATACGAGAATACAGAATCCAGGTCCTCTGAGTACAAGCTTTATTCTCAATAAAGGACTAAAACCAGTACTAAAAGCTTAGCTTTGCCATAAAAAAAATATACAGGGAGCAAAGCAGGCAAAAATTGAGTAGAAGCATTCCAAATTTGAGCTGTTTGCCTACAATGACCTAACTTCACACGGGTAGAAAGCATACTCTTAACATCTTAATTCCTGAAAAGTGTACTGTAAGCAAGGAAAAAAGTAGTAGTTCATGAGATTTTACGTACAGAAAACACAGTCACAGACATAACTTCACTTCTCTTCATCTCGTTAGCATGTATTTAAGATGGAACAAAGCATTCCCAAATGAATATTTCCGTTTAATTCATTCCTATCATCCAAAACATCTGGCAGAGCCGCTACACTTGTTTAGCTAAATTGTCCTGTGTAGGTCCAGATTAACACCACATACTCTAATAGCATTTTGCAAATGTTCTGTTGCTGACTTTTAATGCAATAGGGGTGAAAGCAGAACCTGGATGTTGCTATTTATAGTTGAAAGACTACATCAGTGTTCTTATTTGCTTATATTTCTATCCTATTGATGACTAGCCTCAAGTCTATCACATTTTGTATCTTAAATGCTGATCATTTGTTTCCCTTGATAAAATACTTTTTTCTCTCTCAATGTTTGCATTCCTCAGCATGCTAAATTACATTAGAATGGGATGTGTCCTTTGCAAATATCACCCTACAGCCACAGACCCCATGGGATTAGTCCCACTGCTTATAATACATAAGATTGATTCTAGGTTAATCAGTCACTCCAGAAAAGGAAGCACTGCAAAGGAAAACATATTTGAACACTCTACTGCTATCAGATTTATGTTATTGAATTATCAGGAAATAAGATGATAATTTACAACCAATCATCAATGTTAAATTTGTTCCAGGAACATTCAAATTTCTGGCATGTACCACCAAATAAAATGTATTTAGCGTTGTAAACTGGATTTGATCACAGTAAAGAGTTTGCAGCTAGGAAAAG